ACTCTTATGCTGCAATTCATGGCAAGCAGGAAACAAAAGATTTGAAAGTTGAAAATATAACATTTGAATCTGAAAATATCAAATCTGCAACCGAAAAATATAATACAGTGAATATCAAAAAATATATGTAAGTGAAGTGAATAATGAAACTTATTTTTAATTGTGAATACATTATTGTATTGTTCAGTGTGCGGGAGTGTGCGGGACAGGCAGAGGGATCACCGGAAACCACAAGGAGGTGGGAGGGAGAGGACCTGGGGACGAAAGTCAGGCAACCGGTGTTCTATCATTTTCTGCTACTTGTCGAGAACTGCTACATGCGCCGAGTCGATTTTCCAAGTTTCCTTGACACGCCAATCATATTTTGCAAGCCTGTCGAATTATTCTGATTATTTGCTCTTTTGGCCAAATTAAAAAGTACATTGAGCATGTAGATTGTACAATGACCGCTCTCTTGAAATTAAATATTAAATAATTGCATGGATTGTTGCCTCCGTCTACTATGTTGTATTATCCGTAGTCCGTTTTCCATTTGCAGAAACACGGTGAGAAACATCCACCAAAACCCCCTTTCTTTGCGCTTTTGGCTTATTTAAGATAAATAGCATATAGCTTAGATTGCACACTGGTTTAGCTCTTGAAGTTAAATTTGGAATAGTTGCATGTAGCTTACTGTATCGCAGGGACATGCACATGATTCTAGAGGGGCTCACAGCGCGCAAACATACTGCCCAATTTTTTTCAGGTAGTAATAACATGTAGATTAATGAGTGATACAGTTGCTATTTCTTTTGTGTCAACAAATTATTGTAAACATGATTTTGTTCACATTATTATAATAAAGCACTGGTTTCAACAGAGGTAGAAAACCATATAGGGTGGCATGAATCGATAGACAGAGCCATCGATTTATGCAGCGGTAGCAATTCTCGACAAAGCAACACCGGCAGGTCCCCAGGGGACGTCCCGGAGGGCGGTCGAGGAACTTGCAAAATACAACAAAACTCACTTTGTGTGGTTTTTATATATACACAACGTGATGATGCCGATATATAAAGTCTCATTCACCTCTGTTTCTTCCTGCACCGTGATGCCCATTTCTGAACCACGTTTTGGATGAAGAAGCACTGATATTGAGTGATACAGATCAGACCAGCGTGAAGCACCTCACCATCCCACACATGCTCCGTATGGCGCGGCATATCTTTATATGCCGAACCCGTAAATAAAGGCACTATTTGCCGTACTGTCAGAAGTGTGTGTTTGGCGCTGAAGTCCATCTTTATTACCTTCCCTGGCCCCAGAAGAATGTGTCACATCAAAGAAGATTTCCACAAGACAGTCCACATATTCCGTGTAAATGGGTGATTGTGTTTGATGTTGTGAGATGCATGTAATGGTAAAATATGTTAAAACATTGTCTTGTGCTAAACCCGGGTCTCAAGTGTCCGTATTTGACCCTGACGTGCAAAGAGCAGCATGATACAAAATGTTAGTTTGCAGCTGTGTCCTGCACAGCTGCACAAAACCAGCACAGTTAGCACATAAACACATATATAACACCAACACATAGAAAAATCATATTAAAAGCCAATAAAACAGTCTACAACTTTCCTAGCAAGTACATGTTTTTAAAACCTTTCGCATTCAGTCGGTCCACGATTGTTTGCCTGTCTTTTTCTCTTTGTTTAATTACAGCTGCAGCTCTTTATTTTCTTCCTTCTTGGCTTCAGGTGCAGTCAGGATGCAAAGCTCAACATATCTTGTCCGAATTTACTAGTTGGCACGTTCATTATGCAGCCTGCAGTAGAGTTAACGTCACGTACTGATGGCTATAAAACATCACTAAACATAGATCCAACAATGCGGTGAGCATCACAAATCATAGTACTCTTTGCACTGCAGGCCTAAGATACTGAAATACTTTTACCGTGATCCAAATAATTGCTTATGAGAGCAACATGTAATCCAGCAATGAACACATAATCTCTTTAGTGAAACAGTGTACAACTAATCACACTTTTCAACAACGCAATTGGTTAACCAGTATGTTCAGGCTTCATGAGCAAATACAGAATCCCTTTGTGTTCATTTCCAAAGCCGCATTAAGACACACATCACTTTATTTAATACGCTGCTTGCAAGTCGCTGTGTTGTGCCAGCCAATACTAACTTTCCACCGACCACTTTTCCCACACGGTGTCGCTCCGATCTGCCGGCGCTCTATCATTTTGTGCTACTTGTCGAGAACTGCTTCTTTGTAGTATTGGGCATGCGCCGAGTCGATTTTCCAAGTTTCCTTGACACGCCCATAATATTTTGCAACCCTGTCGGTGAACGACGTGTTAACGGAGTAACATCCTCAAAATCCCGATTATTTCCTCTTTTGGCCAAGTTAAAAAGTACATTGAGCGTGTAGATTGTACAATCACCGTTCAAAAACATGCTGTATAGGCTATTTATGATGACATAGGTAGTACATGAGTGTTCCTTTAACTTATGTTGTCAGTGTAATTGACAGGCTGCTTAACTGGTTAACTCTTAAATTCAACATATTTTTTCAGGCAGTGATAGGACAGGCAATGATGCAGAGAGCACAGGGAGAGGAGAAACACCAGGTCCAATAGAGAGAGAAGAAGCACAGAGGAGCCATGAACCCCAGAACACGTGTTCTGGGGTTCATGGCTCCTCTGTGCAAGGCAGGACCTGACGTGGAGGACAAGGAGGCCCTCTGAGCACTACTGTAAAAAGGAGACTCCGTATGTAGATAGTTCTTAATCTGCAATTGTCTTGTTGTGTTGTCATACTTTTCTTTACTGTTTTCTTAAATTTAATAAACTACAAACTACTAACACATATCTTTATTGTCATTGATTGTATATGACTTTTACTGATAACATAATGCAATATAGCCAGGACAGCCCTACAAGAGTTGCGACGCTTTGTGCTGCGTTGCTTTGCATCGCGTCGAGGTCTGTAAGGTCCCACCTCTAATTTTACCACTACAGCACTGCCATGGGCCAAGAACCGGGCACGGGGCTTCCGGCAACCAAAGACCGGCTGTTGAGTTCCGGGGTCCCGGTGGGGAGCCAGGCACGGAGGCACCGGCGATGAGGAGCCGCAATTGGCGGTGTCTGGAGTTGGGGGGCCGGAATCGGGGGTGTCGGAGGCAAGCGTCGGGATGCAGGAACGGGCGTCACGGGTCAGGAAGCCGGGAAGTTGGTGCGGCCCAGCGGGGACGGGGGTGCGTTGCTTCCCTTTGCCTTGTTTCCTCCTATGGGGTTGAGGATGTCCGTGAGCTTGAGGCAAGCGCTCTGGTAACTCGAAAACGAAAACAAAATTGGTCTCCCGTTGCCAAAAGGCGCTCATTACATCCAGATAGTCTGGCCTGTGTTCTGGAAATGTGTCTGCTGAATCCAAATACAGTCAGCCCATCCTGTCATGACGGAGTGGCGGAAGTAGGACTCAATCGCAGATATCACAAACAAAAATACTTTATTTCTTGTTGAGCAAAAAAATTAAAAATGCCAAGGGGGAAAAAAAAAGTCAAGAAAGAAGGCCAACACAAAAGTGTCCTGGTGTTGACTGGCACTGTGTGGTTACAGTAAAGTTGGTTACCATTGTAAGGGGTTTTACTCTCATCTTGTTCAAGTATTTGCCTCATGACTTCTCCACCAGTTCAGGGATCTGGCCTCCACTCATGCAGTTGTTGGAGAGCTGTCTGTTGAACTACTATAGAGTCATAGAAATTAGAAGACGGTTAAAAATAACTCAGGGTATAAGCGTGAATCCACCCCTATGACCTCCCTTCTAAATAAAATCAATTTTGTCCTCACTTTAATCAAATTATTTTGAATGTGTAGTCAATGTGCTATGATTATTTTCATCCATAAAGGATGAAATGACTCATGAGAAATATTTGGATACAACGATAGTGTGCAAAAGATACAGCTTTTCCAATATTTCATCAGACAATTACAAATTAGATTTTTAACAGTAAAATACGTAAAACATATATTATAAATTAAAAATGAATTCTGTAGTTATCTGTTCAACTTCGCCATATCCTATGGGGCTTTTGAAATGGGACTGATATAAGTGTAAGATTCTCTGTTCAATCTTGTTCAAAGTATTCACATATCTATTATGACACAAAACACTGAGATTCGTCAGTGTGAAGACACAACACCATTCTGCAGAAGAGCTTCTTAAGGTGATCATAAATTCTCCTCATTTTCAGTCCATAAATGAGTGGATTAAAAAGAGGTTGATATATTACAGCTTGTATAGTTATTATAAAGCGTACAGTTTTTGGAGAATCAAGTTCCAGTTGATCAAGAATTAAAGAATATGAAATTAAACAGGTAAAGTTGATTAGAACCAGCAGATGGGGTAAACAGGTCTGTGCAGCTCTTCTCCTGACTCCTCTACATCGATACGATACTACAAGTATCTTGCTGTACGTGAAAAATATAAAGACTACAGGGAAAAGTAAAAAAGTAACAAGAATTAAGCCATATATATTCACTATTAGTGATCTCGCACATTGAAGTGTTTGAACTGAGCTGTTGCAAAGTATTCCTTTCAAATGAAACGTACAGATTTTTCTTTTAGCATTTAGTAATATTAGTACTGAAACCAAGCAAGCAGGCAGAATCCAAGCTGAACACAGGAAAATGTAAACAGTTGTTCTTTGCATGATGGTTGTATATTGCAGAGGGTTACATATAGACACATATCTGTCATAGGCCATGATGGACAAGAGAAAGAAATCTGAAACGGCTAACCAGTGAGAGGAAAACCACTGGAGGAGACATGCTGGATAAGATATGATCTGTTTTTCTGATAAAAAGTCAATCAAAAGCTTTGGGTAGATAGCAGTGCTGAAAAGAACAGAGTTGATTAACAAAGCTGCAATGAAAATGTACATTGGCTCATGCAGGTTTTTATGAATCATTATGATGCACACAATAGTGACATTACTGCTAATTATTAAAATATACACCGTAAACATGACAACAAAATACAGATATCTATATATGTGCACTTCCACATACCCACCAAAAGTTATATAAGTCACATTTAATCTATAATCCATTGATAATAAATGCAGTGAGATGATAACAAATAATATTTATCTGACATAAACAGCACTAGATTGTCTCTCAGTCTTCAGTATCTGACCTTGATATGCTCTGGTGTGATCCGGCAAACAGACGGACTGGAAAGTGATCTGTGAGAGTCGGTGGGAGGTTTTTTATCAGACTACTTCATCCTCCATGGATCTCATTGAACTCTCTAAAGGATGAACTCTGTAAATAACTTGATTCTACAGGGCTGAAGTCATAGATGTTCTCTATGCCAAATTAACAAAACTTCTAATTACAACAACATTCAAGTTGTATGTGCATTTACAATTTGGTTGAACAGGGAAAGTGGCGCCAAGGATCTCAATCAAGAAACTTTGGTGGACACAAGTTGCCCCCCTCCCCTTCTTTTAACCGTTAGGTTTCCAAACTCAAGAACGCCGAGGCCCAATTTGAAATCTGAAAACCTTTTGCGGCTCACCCAAACCTTTAATCACAACTCTGATCAAAACATAAACTAGGGATGATTAAATGACCTTAAGAATTTAACCGATTAAAAATGTATTAAACGACAATGTATGTTTTGTATACCATTTTCTCCGGAGCTCATATACCGTATTTTCCGCAGAATAAGGCGCACCTTCAATGAATGACCTATTTTAGAACATTTTTCACATATAAGGCGCATAAGATGCTGCAGTCAAACGTTTGCTTTCAGGGTCCGATCGATGCTGCGAGGTACGTCCGCTCCCGCCGCCCCCCTCGCCATCCACGCCTTAAATCTTCGGCTGCTCTCCAGCCACGCCGCCTGTCAAGGGCCCCTTTTAGAATAACCTATTTTCCCCGTTAAGATGGTTCAGCTACTGTAAAGAAAAGAACGCCGTCTCTCGCTCTCGGCGAGAACGACAGCTTTGTTTCCCTGACGCGCCCTGAAACAAGCTCCATATCTCACGCGCTTGAGCGCCGCTCAGCATCTCGCCGTCGTAGACCGAGCTTTGGCATGTTTGGCAGAGCGCCTTGAGCGCCGTGTACAACCAGTATGGATCAACCGATTAACCAATTGATCCATATATAAGGCGCTCCGGATTATAAGGCGTACTGTCGTTTTTTTGAGAAAATTAAAGGCTTTTGAGTGCCCCTTGGAGTTCGGAAAATACGGTATATTTACTTTAATACTACAAGAGGGCGCCCCAAATTACATTGTTTTGTTTAGCGGCGCCTCTTATTGAATAACGACAGGCGGACAAGAGAAGCCGTTCGAGCGAGAGCCTTATTTTTTTATTAATCTGTTTGTTTAAATTGTTTGTGCTTCATCAATGAATGTTTCTCATAATTAATGTGCCGCATCATAAATATTTTGATATTAATTTCAAACTTTTCAAAATTGAAAATTAAAAACATTTTATTTATTTATTGTAAATGACCTCTCGCGGCCCACCTGCAGTACCTTTGGGAATCGCTGCGTTAGGGTGTCCTTGATTGACACAGCTTTAGTCGACATTGACCTGTGAGCTCCCTCAGTCAGGCTTCATTTTACAGTCACTAACGAGCCAACAGTTTACATGAATAGACCACAGCGATTGCAGCATTATGCTTTTTTGGGGTCTTTGGCGACTGCAGAATTGACCTTAAAGGGTCATTTCATTTTTTTCATATGGTAGAATCAATGTATTTACTATATTGATATCTTATTATATTAGTACTATACAATCGAGCCAATGTTGTTCATTTAAAAATAATATTTTATTGATGTTTTTTCAAATGGGGGAAAAGAAAAATGAAGTAAACATCTCGACAAAACGCAACTCAATCCCCATATACACTAATGATCACATTTTTAAAAGTGTAAATGTTTGAGGCTTGGTGCAAGAAAATAATCATAGGCTATAACCTGAACTGCTGTCGCACACTTGTGCGGTTGGCACTGATATTTATTTTCCACGTACTGTGCTGTTGCTTTGGTGAACAAGGCAGAGACTGTTTAAGGAAACAGAGTAAACGTGTTCACATCTCTACCAGTAGGTGGCAGACTATGTGTGTTCAAACCATAGATTTAATTATATATGTGGTTACGTTATTTATCTAGGTTATTACAGATGTGTTCAATTCTATTCATTTCATGTGATGTTTAGGGTTCATTTGCAACCAGTGTTGTATAGGTCTTGTTTTATTTTAAAAAAACTGACAGAGAGAGACTGCAGCGTTTGTCTGAGTAACCATGGTAACTGCGCACCAGCCATCATTAACGAGCTGCTCAAAGAGAGATTTACATAGAATCCACACCTCAAACAAGTTAAATTAGCCAAAGATGAGAAGAGAATTTGAAGAGACCCAAGACTCTGACGAATGCGTCCAGGTTATTTACATGTCTTTGCGGTCATGAATACGGCTCTAATGGCAGTTTCCAAGACGTGTACCTTCTGTTTTGTTTTTTTTAATATGTGAGCAGATTTATATTGGTATGTATGGAGCTTAAGAGAGACTTTGTCTCACTCTCGGTGGTCTGGGGCCAAAAGTAAACGTCCGAATTCCATAGCCACATGTGTATGACCAGCACAAGCACGCCATCATTTTGTCTACAAATGAAGTCTGAAGAGTGAATATTGTGGTCATGAGGGCAAGTTAAAAATATTTCTTGAACCAGATTCTGACGCTGGTGTACACTCTAGATCTTCAGCTCTCACTCTAAAGCAACGCAATACACACTAATGTAAATCTCAAATGGTCTAAAAAAACTCATTAATACGATACACCGCCGTGGAGAAGGAAGCCTTGGCTGTCAAGTGGGCAGTCCAGGAGCTCAGCTACTACCTGCTGGGAAGTGCACTTGTGGCAAATGCTATTGCTGAGTGATCGAGTGTGTCCAGCTTTCTGAGGGTGGTCTTTGATGCCATTTTATAAATTATATTGCCATAGTCAAATACAGAAAGAATGGTCATATTGCAGATGTTGGACTATAGTTCATTAGTTGAGTCATGAAGAACATTTCAGATACCTACAATTAAATTCTTCCTAAAAAGAATTACCTCACCTTTTGCCATTCATTTTTTTGGCTTTTTTATTTTCAGATAACCATTATTTACTTTGATAGTCTTGATAGGAAAAACTCTTATCTGGAAGGACGTTTTTAAAAATAACCATAATGTAATTTGCTAATGTAAAGGACATTATGAATATCTTAAATTAAAATGATGACTGTTTTTCTATTGTCAGCCCAATATAGATTAATGGCTGAAGTCAGAGGAAGAACGGCGTTACCGTTGAAGTTGGATGTAGCACTGGCTCATGAGACACAAACGCTGGTTTCCTGGCAGCGAGTCCTGTGTTTGTTTGACCCACACGGCCCCAGCAGACTCAAAAGCACCTCAATACGTGATGCTCTCTTACTGTCCGGGACCATTGGAGGTAATTTAAAAATTGCGCTGCATCGAGCCACTAAAGGGGGCCTCCAAGGAGCACTGACCAACCGTTGGTATTAACAAGAAACAACGGGTTGGATGAGAGGGGATATTTGTTGTTTTTCCTGACGTAGGAACATATTCCACAACAGTGGTGATATAATCCCCCGTGGGAGTCGTCACAACAGCAGCTGTACAAAACCTCCTTCTCATGAGTAGCTGCGCAGGTAACTTAAACCTGTAGCCTGAAGTGTCGGTATGGTCCGACTCCTTTGCCTCTTCTGTTGTCCACTATCAACTTCAAACCTACTGCATAATATTACATTCCATTTAGAACTATCACTGTACGCCTGAATGTTGTGTTATCCTTTACACGTTAATGACATTTCAAACCATAAATTGATGCAGAAAAGGTGAGGGATCCACAGACTGCTCTCTCAATATGTGCCGCTACCAAAGTTAACAATAAACGTCAACCTTAAAGAGTGAAGATGATATTCATGACAATCACTACTTGTTCCAAAGGTCATAACGTTCTCATTTGTAAATTCTTAATATCACGTAAGAAAAGACGCACATTACCATCAGGAACATCGATATTACATCAGTGATGTGGAACAGGTGAGGTAAGCAGGTCCGTGCAGTTTTTGTCCTGACTCTACAACCTTTGTATGATATCCTAAGTATCCTGGAGTAAAAAGTATGAAGAGAACAGGTATAAGCGCAAAGTTTTTTAGAGCAAAAAAGCCATTTATAGCCCGTGATTTTGAAGTCACACATTGGAGACTTTGTAAAGTTCATTCTTACAAAGAAATCCTTAAAACAGTTCTGATTGCTGATAAGAAACTGTATTAGTTTCTTATCAGCAATCACAATTAAAATGTACACAGGCTCATGGAAGTTTTTGTGTATGCAGATAAGGTACACAATGGTGAAATTATTAATATATATGCCGTAAACATGATCACAATGTTGTGTCACATATGTTACATTATGTTCATCCATTCTATTGTCTATTGTCTATATCTTATTCATTCACCTCAACATGAAATGCACTGACAGAGACAGACTATTACTCAAGATGAAACAATAACTTGACGGAAAATAAAGTTGGTTTAATTTTTCATTATAACAAAAATCAATGCAAAAAAACCTACAACTTACGCCTACAACTGCTGATTGGAAACATATGCATGCTTCTGCTTTAATGGTTGTTAGTTAAAATATTGGCATGCATTAATTTCATTACAACCCCCCCAACCTCCTTCATAGATATCAACCGCCGTCTCAACTCACTGCACCACTTACTAATTTTTGATACTTATTTTTATTTCTCTTATGCTGGGTTCCCCTCCAAGGATTGATAAAGGCTTATCTCATCAGATCTGATCCTATTTTAGGACTGCCATAACCTTGAGAAAGTCACTTCAAGACAAAGGTTATATCACGAAGATCAAATGAAAAATTGACGCTGTGGTTATCTGTCCAAATTACCATTGGCTGGGGGTCTTTCAACAGTGATTACCCAATCAATAACATTTAATATCATTAAATTGTGTAATATTTGATCTTTGAATTATTTTAAAAACAAGTCTTTACATGTAGAAAGTATTCACGTATCTGTATTATGACACAAAACGATGACAGTCATCAGTGTGACTCTGCAGAAGAGCTTT